GTCTATTGTGACTCTTGCAACATGTGGTCGGGCATTATCTTCTTGGAAAGTTGGATCTGCCAGGGTGTCTAGATAGGGTAAAAGATGGGGTTCTAGAACTTCGTGAATAAAACGCTGCGCGTTCATGTTACCTCTGATGAAGATTAAAGGTGACCTGGAACCATAATCTATAGCACCCCAAACCATAACTCCAACAGTGTGATGAACATGTCTTTCAACAAAAAACTGTGGATTCCTCCTTTTCACCACGTCGCCTTCTAACCCTTACACCGACGTAATCGCCTTGAGTGGTGCAGACAACGGCCACTCTGGGATCAGGAATGGAACAGTATTGTCTTTAGTGACGAGTCTCGATTTTGTTTAGGCATGCACGATGGTCGTGCCAGGGTTAGAAGACGACGTGGTGAAAGGAGGAAACCACAGTTTTTTGTTGAAAGACATGTTCATCACACTGTTGGAGTTATGGTTTGGGGTCACCTTTAATCTTCATCAGAGGTAACATGAACGCGCAGCGTTATATCCACGAAGTTCTAGAACCCCATCTTTTACCCTATCTTGACACCCTGGCAGATCCAACTTTCCAAGAAGATAATGCCCGACCACATGTTGCAAGAGTCACAATAGACTTCTTTCAACATAATGATGTCACATTGTTACCATGGCCACCAAGATCTCCCGACTTATCCCCAATTGAGCACGTGTGGGATATGATGGGTAGGAGATTGCTCAATTTGCAACGTCCTCCTTAGACTCTAGAAGCACTTCGAGAGGAGTTGGTGGTTGCCTGGAATGAAATACCACAGGAGGACATTGACCACCTGATCAGAACCATGCCTAGGCGCGTTGGAGAATGCGTAGCACATCAGGGTGCATCCACACATTATTAAAGGACAAAGGGCTTTAAAGCATCAAAATTTTATTAAAATAAAACCATTTAAACTGGATGTTCGGATTTATATGTCACTTAGTATATGATTCCTAAGTCATCGATTTGCTCTTGACGCTTAAGGCTAACGTGACCAAGGTATTACTTAAAATTTAAGATGCTTAATTTCCTTGTGAAAGACAAAACAAAGCACTTGTGCGCATTTAAGTTAAGATGATTGGCATGGCACCATGAAGACACTGTGATAATATTTTGCTGCAAGACAAGGCAGTCATCGAGAGTATTGACATAGTTGTATATTTTAAGGTCATCTGCATATAATAACTTTGAACAGTGCAAGTCAAGAGTTAGATCGTTTATATATAAGTTAAATAGTAAGGGTCCTAGATTCCTGAAGTAGGCTTTATAAGTGGTGAACGATATCCTTTGTAATCAACATATTGACTCCTGTTAAAAAGATACCAGTTAAACAACGACAAAAGATCTTCAGAGAACCTAAAAAAACCCAATAGGATACCTAAATCTACTCTATCAAATGCCTTTTCCGTGTCCATATGAATGACATCAACCTTGCTTCTGCCATGCAAGGTTTCGCAAATGGATTGTGACAAGCCAGCCAGACTAGTGATACATGACTTCTTATCGACAAAGCCATGCTGATCGATAGACAATGACTCTTTCGTTGCGGCAAAAATAAACGTGTACAGTATTATGTCAAATAATTTTGCAAAATTACAAGATTCTGAAATAGGCCTATAGTTATCAATTTACGCTTGGTCACCTTTTTTTAGTATCGGAGTAACTCTAGCTAGTTTCCATGCCTTTGAAAACGAGTTGGACTTCAGAATTAGGTTATAAATGTAAACTAAGGGTTCTAACGACGGCATAATGCAATATTTGACTAGAAAACTAGGTATCTGATCAGGCCCTATGATCAGTTTATTCTTCATCAGCCTCTGAAATTGACCTAATAGCGATAACAGGCAAGTTCAAATATTTATGAGGAAAATTATCAGCTAGGTTAGCATCAGGCATATTAAATACATCAGAGAAGTATTGACCAAAGGCATCAACAATACCTTGAGCATTTGTAAAAACACTGTCACCCATTTTCATAGCGCCAGGAATCCTGCTATTCCCTTTTTTATTTCTAATGAAACTCCAAAATTGAGACAGATCGTTATTTATATTATTTTCGGCACTTTTGATAAAATTACGATAGATAGATTTATTTTTATCTTTACAGAAGATCTCAGATTAGCAAATCGGTCATAATAAAAACCTGTCCTATGTGCTGCCTCGTTTTGTCGAACCTCTTTTATTGTTTCACTAGAAAACCATGGAGGGTACTCACGAGAATTGGAGGTTTTATAAGGAAAGGACAAAAATACTTTTCAGATTGTTTTCAAGTTGTATTGCAATCCTTTTATAGTACCCTGTATTTTTCATTATATGTCCATAACGAATCAAGACATTGATCTGCAGTTTCCGCCATCTTATATGTTTTTCACGCTCTTTCTGAGCTAAAACCATAATATACAGGGTGACAGGTAAATAGGTGTAAAACATTTTAGGAGGTGATAGTACAGCCCCTTTGCTATCGAAATTAGTATATAATACCATACCCTATATTCAAAGGTTGAAAAGTTATTGAAGATTTAAGATTTTTTTAAAAACAATCCATATTTCAGAGTAAAAAAGTCGAGAGAGGAAAAAGTTGGCGATTAAATATTTGTTTTTTGTGGTTTTGGGTTATTATTTCAATAATTAACTATTATAAATTAAAAAAGATTCGAAAACAATACCAAACAACGTATTTATTTTCATTCAAAAATGTTTAACTAAGAATAACAAATAACGTTTTACAGTAAGTAAGGTGTTTTATAAAAAAATCAGTATTCAAAAAAACGTACAAACAATTTAAATAATATCCTTGTTTCATAAGGAATCTAAATTGGTATGATAAGTGCACAAAAACTGTGTGAAACTAAACATAATGTATTGTAATACAACAATAGGGAGTAAATTTGCCAATGGCTTGTCTCCTATTTTCACAACTCTCTGATTGATAAGAAAGTGTTTTTGTGAAAATAATGTAACTGTAAGCTATTTGATTATTATTTTAAACTACGGTTAAGTTACACGATTAGATTATTTACACAGTTGTAATTGTACTACAGAATGATAAAAACTGACTAAAAGTTACTACAATTGGTAAGTAAAATACAATAATGAAATGAAGGTAAAATTCATTTCAATTGTTGTTCGAACTGACGCCCGCCGTTTCCTATGCAAGCCCGTAGTCTTTTTCTCATGTTGGTACGCGTGATGCGGCCAGTTAGTTGTCCTCTGATAGTGTCAGCAGCAGCAATAATTCTTTCTTTCAACTGTGCAAGAGTGTCTATGGGCTCAGCGTACACCAGTGACTTCATGTGCCCCCATAAATAATAGTCACATGGTGTTAAATCTGGGCTCCTCGCTGGCCACGGTGTCGGTCCACCTCGGCCAATCCAGCGACAAGGATATTTCTCGTCCAGTCACTGTCTAACACCCAGACGGAAATGCGTGGGACAGCCATCATGTTGATAGATCATCTGCATCCTCATATTCAGAGGCAGGTCTTCGAGATACTCCCAGAGTTCGGATCTCAAAAAGTTTTCATAGGATTCGCCATTCAGGTTGTCAGGCAAAAAAAATTGGTCCAATTAGATACGTATGAATGATTCCCATCCACACGTTTGCCGAAAATCTTCTTTGATGGGCTCTTGCCTTTGCCATGTGGGGATTTGCCTCTCGTGGGGCCCAATAATGTAAGTTGTGATAATTTGTTGTCCCCTCTCTGTCAAACTTAGACTCGTCGGCTCACAATATTTTAGTTAAATAGTCGTTTTCTTCTTGATCCCGATGAAGCATGTATCGACAAAAATCAATTATTCTTGCGGGATCTCCTTCTTCTAATACTTGAACCGGTGTGTAATAGAAAGGGTAAAGTCTCGCCGAATGCAAAACGAACCAAACTTTCTACTGAGTTAAACCAAGCTGCTTTGCTATAACTCGTGTAGACGTCGTCGGGTCTCTGCCGTAGCATTCCAGTATTGCATCTCGATCTTCGTCGTCAAACAACCGAGGTCTACCAGCATCATGACGTCTCTTATGAACCTGTCCACTTTCCTTGACGCGTTGGTACACAGAAGCAAATACTCGATGACTCGCTATTCGCCGATTCGGAAAACGGTTTTCGTATTCTCGCCTGGCTTCAACGGAATTTCCATCACTTAAACCATAACAAAACAGAATATCAGCGTATTCTTCGTTACGGTAACTCGCCATTATTAAAACTGATCAAAAAAGTAAAAGTACGTCCTACCGCGTTAAAGGTTGATATTCTACTAACTAACCTAAGCGTTAGTTCCCTTTCCTTGATCCGTCAGCTGTGTCAATTCATAACACACGCAGAGCTTGCTTCCGAGGAGCGACGACAGATTCCGAATACTTAAACCCGAATAACGGCACAGGGTACAAAAAATAACAAAAAGGGTCGAACCATGAAAGGCTCGGTTTACCAGCTCAGTACAATGAAATGCACCGCAAAGTAATATTGTTTTGTTAAATGGTTTACTTACTGATATGTTATTATACCATTTTAGAAACCTAATGAAACGAGGAAGTTTTTGCAGTTATTTGTACATTTTCTTTATTATGATTTTGTTGAAAAAAGACTTCTTAATGTGTTTTCATATGTTTTTTAATTTATGAGAATTATTTATTTAAATAATAACCTGAAACCACCAAAAAAAGAATGTTTAATCACCAACTTTTTTCTCTGCAATCTGGGTTGTTTTTTAAAAAAAATTAAATCTTCCATAACTTTTTAACCTTTGAATATAGGGTATGGTATTATATACTAATTTTGATAGCAAAGGAGCTGTACTATCACCTCCTAAAATGTTTTACACCTATTTACCTGTCACCCTGTATATAAGCTTGGCACACAAAATTCCGATGGCGCGTTTTAGGAGTCTGTATTCCTATAGCTACCCAGAGTACACTTCTCATAGGAACCTGGAAGAAATTTTTTGTGTGTTTTGTATAAAAAAATGACTTTCATTTTTAGACACTAACCCAAAGAACAAAAAGACGACACTGGCGATCCAAATGTAAATCTATTATTCGTGCAATCTACCTATTTTGCGATGTCAAATACCTCCGATAGTTATATTGGGTTTCGTGGCGTTAGACAAATATCCCAGTGGACATAATGAATATTTGTGTTTAACCGCACATAGATACTATCCAATGATCCTTGCGGTATTTGTACATGGGGGTGGGGGGTGATCCCGCCATATCTCCCTCCTCCCGCTCACTCGCATCCCCCCAAATTTCGGTATTAATTTAACTTGTGCCTGATAATCGAATTAGCCGTCCATCGGAACCGCAGCTGCCCGAAGCCGCGCGCTGCCATTTCGGTTGCATTTAGTAAAATAGAGCGGCCAGCAGGGCCGTAGACAAAAACTAAAGGGTTTAGAATATACCACACTCCATGTCTTAACAGTTTTGGTACAAAATTCATTGGCTTCAATTTTAACAAACAAAATAATATTAAGCTGCCTTTGGAAACAAAAGTTTGTTTATTTACTTTACTGTCAGCTGAAATTTGTTTATTTTGAAGTTTTCGCTTTAAGATGTATAAATTAGATATCAGTTGGATGCAGTTTACACTGACATTTCTAAAGCCTTCGATAAGGTTGAGCATGTGTTCATTTGGTTTTACTGACAAATCAACATCGTTATTAATGTCTTACTTGTGGAATCGACAGCTGTACGTTTCTTACAATCGTTTCGAATCGTTTCGATACAATTCGTCATCTGGGGTGCCACAAGGTTCTAACCTGGGCCCCTTATTATTTTTGATCTTTGTGAATGATGTATGTGATTACATTGATAGTGGTAAACTGTTATTTGCTGATGATTTGAAACTGTATGTTAAAATTAATAATGAAAGAGATTGTGAGTATTTACAAACGTAACTTTGCCGTTCGGTGTATGCTAAACAGGTTGCATTTGAATATTGCCAAATGCAAGGTATAGTCAACGCCAAACAAAGTAGCGTGCACGTCATCAAGGTGGGTGTGTTGAAAAATTTACATTGTTGCCAAACTTTTTGTAAAATAATAAAATTTATTATTTACATATCTAGGTTTATAAGCAATATTAACCTCAAATGAGAACAAAAATAATAGTATAATAAAATTATAGATCTGTACTTGCGTAATCATTAAGTATGACAATTATTGATCAGATGACACTATGAAACTACCATATTTAATTGATAGCTTAAAGGTACTGAATAAAAATCCAAATGGGGTCCTCCAAATTTTATGCATGGTATTTATTTTACAGAATTCATACAGAAAAATGCATTCTAAAATTAGGTAAGCTACTGGTGTAAGCTTTTTCTGTACAATAAAGTTAGTCGGAGTTTCTTTTTTCAGCGCTGTCTGAATCTGAATCTTCATCACTCTCAAAGTTGATTATTAGAGGTTCGATGTCTGGTCGATCAAAAATTCGTTCTCTTTCATACCATTTAAAAATTTCTTGCTCAGTATGTCGAACACTATTTTTCCACATGTCTGGGGTAACCGTTTGTAGAGCCTCGTTCCACATATCCAAACAGTCTTTTTCACTGTTACCATCTCTACCAATATGTCTGTTATAGTAACCTTTTGCTATGCCCCAAATTAACTCAATAGGGTTAAATATACAATGGTAAGGAGGCAGACGAAGAACTTTGTGCCCAGTTATTTTAAGAATAGGAATAAACAAAAGAAATATAAATTGTCGACCAAAATATATATAATTAAGAAGCATTATGTACCGAGCAACAATACTCAATAGCTCTGTTTTAAACATTGTGTTTAAAAATGGTATGTTTTGATTTGTCAACCAGTCTTGGATATTTTTTTTGTCCATGCATTGTTGGGCACTTTGTTCAATATCATGCTGTGATAAGGGGCGTTATCCAGTATAATCATAGATGGACTCTCCAATTTTTCTAATAATTGATGTTGAAACCATTTCAAAAAATTGTCCTGGTTCATCTCTCCATGGTAATCGCTCAATTTTGTTTTCGAAGAAAATATCGCTTCACTACCCTCAATATACCCATTTTCATTTCCAGCATGTAATATAATGTATCTAAAATATATAAGTTTTAAATTTTATAGTGCAAATTGTGTAAAAGTACATACCTTTTACCATCTGTTTTAATAGCTTTCACGCTCTTTTGGTTTCCATTTTGCCAAGAGCGACCTATGGTCCCATTTTGAAATATCCAAGTTTCATCGAGGAAGACAAACTGGTATAAGGAAGCAACCGCCTTAAAGACGTGGCACTACCATCAAATAATGCCCTATCTCTTAATCGAGACCATAAAGTTTGTATCGTAACTTGTTCTTTTGAAACCATGTGTAATATGACATTATAATTTAGTTAACAAATTAATGCAAATTTCTGATAAGTTATTATAATAAGATCTTACTTTTGTGATACATATTATAGATCACTTCTCGAATGGCACTTGTATCCAATGTCGCTGTGTTGGTTACACGTTTAATATAACCCCGCTTTTTCTTGGGCGATTCTAAATTTGCATCACTTTTCACACCCTCGGAAATACGACTAACTGTCCTTAAACTAATTTTTAAAGCAGCAGCAACACGCTACAAAAAATGAAATAAAATTTCACTATTATTAATATACATTACATATAATTATTAGTAACCTTCCTCTTGAACAGCATTTAAAGGCAACAAAGGCCCGTTGTTGTCCCTTTCTTGCTCAAAGTAGTGCATTAACGAGGCCACGAGTTCCTTACACCGACTATTTAACTGTTTGGGCATCTTTATATACCAAAATTGCCTTTATCTACTCGTAAAATGAATAATTTTGTTTTGAAACAAACAGTTGTTGATTTACAGTATGCGGGGTCAAAGGATTTATAAAGATTTGAAATGCCACAAATTGATTCAGTGTCAAAATTAATACAAATGTCAGTTCCCAGTTTAAATAAGTTTCAAGGTGACAATGTGTCAACGCTGCGAAATCGGTTTAGTGCGTTTACATGTCGATAAGTGATTGGAGCGTTTGCAAAACATTTTATTTCGCATAATGCGTCTAAATTTATCAGAAAGCAACTTATGTGATATTTTAATAACAATGCTTATATGACTATTAACCATAATAAGAGAGTAATGACCATTTTACAATTTATATATCACATTAATATGAAACTGCAATAGAGCAATTGTTTGTGATAGAAACCTAGGCATTAGGCCGGGGAATTTTTATCGTGATGACGTGCACGCCACATTGTTTGGCGTTGACTATAGTTATATATTATAGACTAGTTGATACTGTTTGTGATTTGGGTGTTATGTTTTGACTCATATAGATAATATTGTGAATAATGCTAATAGTGCCTTAGGTCCTTTCATCAGAAACTGTAAGCTAATCAATGATTTGATAGCACTAAAAACCTTGTATTATGCTTATATAAGATCCAAGTTAGAGTATGCATCCCTAATATGGAATCCCTACTATAACTGTCATATAAATAGGATAGATTATGTTCAAAAAAAGTTTCTTAAATATTTAGCTTTTAAGTGCGATAGAGTCTACCCTCAACGAGGGTCGCACTATCAAATTCTGTTTGACAGATTTAAAATGACGTCTTTGAATGTAAGAAGGAAGCACAGTTCTGTTACGTTTTTGCTTAAACTCTTGCATGGAGCTATAGTTTCTTCGGAATTGTTCTCACAACTACAGTTTTTAACGCCAAGATCCGTTTCAAGATGTAATGTTATACTTTCTTTTGCAGCCGTGCTAACACAAATTTGATTTTGAAATCACCTGAAAGGGTTATTTGTTTGAATTATAATAGTATTTGTAAGTTTTGTGACATATTCTTATGTTCTATTTCGGAGCTGAAATGTGTTTTGCGGGAGCGCCTTAGATAGTTTTATAAGTTATTCTTTTGTAATATTTCTAATTTAAGATTTTGGCCTATAAATAGAATATTATCTGTTGGGCAATAAAAGCTATAAATAAATAAGAAAAAGTATCAAAAAATTGGTTGGGTGGGTACTCAAACCTGAAATCTGCCGAAAAGTATTGAGTTGTAACTTATGATGAGTTAGTGTTTAAATAAATTCCTTCAAAAAAAATAAATCCGATAAATATTTTGTGCAAAACTTTTGGAACATACATTAGTATAAAGTATACGGCATTCATTTTGCATTAGTTTGAAGGAGATTTATTTTGGAGAAAGAAATCCAATGTTCTTTGGCAACGGATACTTTATCCAACGTGCAACAAAAGACTGGTTTAAATGTTTCGCATTTTTATATCCCGGATCAAAAGTAAGGAGCTTTGGATTACAATTGAAATAAAATATAAATTCAAACTCAGAGATATAGCTCTTACCAATTATAACTCTTTTAGGACGGAACTTGCGACGAATAATTATAAAGAAGAAGGAGTAATTATGCTTTAGCTTCACTACGACGAGAAAAATCTGGATACCTAGCATTTCTGCAAATGGAGAGCTCACCGAAATCCTTATGGAAAGCGTTGCGTCATATAAATATCAGTAATAATAATAATAATAATAATAATAATAATAATAATAATATTTATTTACTCTAAAATACAGGGAACATGAACCGAGCAAATAAATATAATATATCCATAGGAGGACAACGCCTGTGCATGGATCATATGTATGTTGAATTGCAAAATATAATAAAATAGAGAGAAAAAAGAAATTATTGGTAAGAATGGTAGAACATTTATTGTGTAATATTTGAGATTATTTTATTAATTTGATTTCTTCCAATCGTGTTAATAAACTTTTTTAATTTTTTTTTTGAAGCCTAATGTATTGCGTAATTGTTTTAAATTATTTGGTAAATGTTCGTACAATTTTGGAGCTATATACAGGTGACATCGTTTCATTAGGGATTTGTTTGGTTTAGGAACATTTTTTGCGCGTAATTTATATCTGGTTTTGTGATTATGTTTAATTATGTCGTGTTCACTAATAGTTTTGTGATAATGAGTGATGGTATGTAAGAAGTAAAGTTGTTTAGTATCATATACTTGTGCATCATTATATAAGTCATTAGTTGGGTATAATTTTGATTTGCCTAACATTGATTTTAAAATTCTTCTTTGAAGTACATCTAAATCGTTAAAGTATGTCGTGCATGCAGCACCCCACACTACTATACCATATGTTATGTGTGGCTCGACTAAAGCTTGATATATTATTCGTAGATAATATTCAGTTAATATACCGGTGAGAAATTTTATTTTATATGCTATGAATCTAATTTTCTTCAGTATGTGAGAAATATGTACATCCCATCTCAAGTGGGGATCTAGATAAATTCCTAAATATTTTGTATCATTAACTCTATTGATTTTTATATTTTTATCATTTACCTTAAACCGAAGGTGGTTATATTTTGGTAGATGATTAGATAGTGATGAAAATGGTAAAAAATGAGTTTTAGTAAAGTTAATTGTTAATTTTCGGTTATTAAACCACTGAATAATTTTGCAAAAGTCATTTTGGATAATATCTTTTAAGACGTTCCAATCCTTACCTTTATAGAGTATAGCACTATCGTCTGCAAAACTGACTATTTTACCAGTACTGTTAATTTTGAATATATCGTTTAAATAAATATTGAATAACAGAGGACCCAAAATTGTACCTTGTGGAACACCACATTTAACAAACATTTCTTTACTATACGAGCTTAATAATTTTACTGATTGCGGTCTATTTGATAAATAATTTTCCATTAAAGTATACCTCTTTCCACGAAAACCTATTCTTTCTAAGATTTCCAAAAGTATATTGTGGTTAACTGTGTCAAACGCTTTTTGTAAGTCCACAAATACGCATATCGATGGTACTTTTCCATCTATATTTTGGGTTATTTCATCTACTATACTTAATACCCCATCTGTTGTAGATTTGCCCGCTATAAAACCATATTGATTTGAATTTAGAATTTTGAATTTATTAAGAAAATTAATCATTTTATTAAGGAGTAATTTCTCAAAAACTTTAGCTAAACTTGATATGAGTGAAATAGGTCGATAGTTAGTGACGTCCGTATTATCATTAGATTTATAGATAGGTATGATGATTGCTGTCTTGAAAGCTGATGGAAATACTCCAGATTGGAAGGATTTGTTAATGATATAAGCAAGTGGTTCTGTTATTTGTTTGGCCAGTATCTTTAGATGTTCAGCTCTAATTTCGTCAACTCCAGGGCTTTTTTTATTTTTTAGAGTCATAATGGCATTGAAAACATCCTGATAGTCTACTTCAGTTAATACAAATGAATTATTCAGTCTTGTT